CAGCCCTCTCGCATCGAGAGGGGGAGGGGGGCCCTGGACCTCACCGCCCTGGCTGCCTAGCATCAGTTCGTAAGCTAATGTCAACCGGGACAGGCGCTCTCTGGCTTCGGTTTCCTAGGCGGAAACCTAGAAACCCATCTAGTCTGCTTACTTCCCACATTTGCTGGCGTCTTTTCATATCTATTGTGTTGGTCACGGCCCCCTGTTTCTGGTGGCCATTTTCTTCTGCGGTTTCCCAGTGTGGCCATCAGGGTGGCGTTACGGTTTGTTTACCTCAGCCTGGGTGTGCGGGCTAGTATCTAGGGTAAGTTTTTCACCTCTTTCAGGGGTTTCTTTGCTTTTCTGGTGTTTTCTGCATGTCTTCTGTTCCTCTGGGAACGCTTGGATGTTGGTTTTTACACCGGTTTTTTCGTTTTCTGTCTGTTTTGGGTCTGCCCTATGGTTTGGGCTCAGTGTCCCTGTCTGTTTATGTATGCTCCCACAACTTTTTTCCTCGCTTTTCTGTCTGTTTTGGCCGTTTCCTTCGGGGTTCTGTCTGGTGGCTGTGCTTTGCCTTTCTGTGCCAGCAAATGTGGTAGTTTGGGCTCCCCCGGGTTCGGGTTCGATTCCGGGTTCCTTTGGGTTATTTGGTTTCGTTCCGGAGGTTTCTTCCTCTTGGGGCCCCCTTTGTGGGTTCTGGGAGCTTTTCCTCGTGTGTGACCCGGTTCTGCCTTCTGGGGTTCCGGGGTCTTCCTGGCTTGCAGGCTGATCTTTTTGGGTCTTTGCACTTGTTGTGGTCGTGCCGAGGCCTTGGGTTTTGTTGTCGAGGTGGGCCTTTTGATGCAGTTTTGTGCTTTCTTTGTTTCAGTTAATATTTTGGCGTGGTGCTCTCTGCCCACTGGTCGACGGCTTGTATTTTTCTTTACTTTATTTAATTTTATTTGCTTTTCATGTGTATATATGTGTGTGTGTGTGTGTGTATACATATATATATGTACATGTTTACACTTGTGTGTGCTTAATTCACCTAATTGTGCTTTCGGGGGATGAGCTCTGGCTCTTTGGTCCCGCCTCTCAACTGTCAATCAACAGGTGTACAGATTCCTGAGCCTATTGGGCTCTATCATATCTACACTTGAAACTGTGTATGGAGTCAGCCTCCACCACATCACTTCATAATGCATTAAATTTTTCGACCACTCGGACACTAAAAAAAGTTCTTTCTAATATGTGACTCATTTGGGCACTCAGTTTCCACCTGTGTCCCTTAGTGTGTGTGTCCCTTGTGTTAAATAGCCTGTCTTTATCTACCCTATCAATTCCTTGAGAATCTTGAATGTGGTGGTCATGTCCCCCCTAACTCTTCTGTCTTCTAGCGAAGTGAGGTTTAATTCCTGTAGCCTCTCCTCGTAGTTCATACCTCTCAGCTTGGGTACTAGTCTGATGGCAAACCTTTGAACCTTTTCCAGTTTGGTCTTATGCTTGACTAGATATGGACTCCATGCTGGGGCTGCATACTCCAGGATTGGCCTGACATATGTGGTATACAAAGTTCTGAATGATTCATTACACAAGTTTTTGAATGCCGTTCTTATGTTGGCCAGCCTGGCATATGCCGCTGATGCTATCCTCTTGATATGGGCTGCAGGGAACAGGTCTGGCATGGTGTCAACCCCCAAGTCTTTTTCTCTCTCTTACTCTTAAAGTATTTCATTTCCCAGATGATACCTAGTATCTGGCCTCCTGCTCCCTACACCTATCTTCATTACATTACATTTGCTTGGGTTAAACTCTTAACAACCATTTGTTTGACCATTCCTTCAGCTTGTCCAGGTCTTCTTGAAGCCTCAAGCAGTCCTCCTCTGTCTTAATCCTTCTCATAATTTTGGCATCGTCAGTAAACATTGAGAGAAATGAATCTATACCCTCCGGGAGATCATTTACATATATCAGAAACAACATAGGACCGAGTACAGAGCCCTGCGGGACTCCACTGGAGATTTCACACCAATGTGAGGTCTCACCCCTCATCGTAACTCTGCTTCTTATTGCTTTGTGTGTGTGTGTGTGTGTGTGTGTGTGTACACGTGTGTATGCTCATGTACATGCACACGTATGTTTGATGTTTGTGTATGTATGTACCAGAAAATTGCAATGTGACGAGGATGGCAAACTTTAGTCAATGAGACAAGACCTCTCAAAAAACGACAGAGAAAAGCTGAAAATGAACCTCATTGAAGCATACGTTTAAATGGGGATAGATATGAAGAAGAAAGGAATTCTTTTTTTTCTGCAAAGTGTCAGGGACTGGAATGCTTGTGAAATGGTACATTTCACAAAGCAACAAAATCATTAGTGGAAGGGGGTGTAAAGAACAGAGGGAAGGGGAATATATTCCTGAAAGTAGCATATACCAACATAGATGGAGTGAGATAAAAAATATTAGAGTTGAAGGATATAATTCAGCTCAGTCCCCAGGCACTAACAGACAAAACTTGAAGAAACTCCTCAGCTCTTCGCGTCTGGTATTTTGCTGCGGGTGTATCGCCATCTCTATGGTGATCATGTGGCTTCATTGATGGTGTCCCACCTGCGAGCTTCGTCTCTGCGACAGTATTACGTTCCTGGTGTTTCTGTTTGTCATTTTCTTGCTCTTCGTAGGTTCTCTTCTCTTTCTCATCGGGTTGTCTTCTCCTTTCTTGGGTTTTCAGGACTTACTTAATGCTTCTTACTGTTGCCTCATATCGTTCGGCGCTGGCGGAGCCGCTCCGGCATCGACGTCTCATCCTCCCTGTTCTGTACACTTTCTCGTGTTTTGTTTCTCCTCCGGCCTGCTCATGCATCGCCTGAGGCGTCCTGGTCCTTGATCAGGGTGCCCTCTTATCTTTCTTCTCTTTAGCTTGTGGTTGCCCCTTCGGTTCAAGATTGTTTTTCATAGGCCATATTTTGTTGGCATGAGCCTCTGTGGGTCGGGTTGGGGAGCTTCCGGTGCAGGGGTTTCTGCTCTTTTAGTAGTGGTGGTAGGTTTGTACGTTTGAAGCCTATCTCTGTCCTTCTAGCGACAGTCGAGACGGCTGCTTTCCGGAGGGGTCCTTGGGTTATCGATTCTTGGTTGGTTCGGCCGGGGTTGCGTCATGTGTTGTCCAGTTGCGGCTCTTTGCCGTTACCTGCGTACCGTGACTGGGGATGCGCTTTGGGTTGATCCAGTTCCCCTCGTACCCTGTTTCAGGGCTCGGGTCTCCCAGGTCGTCCGCAGTTTTTTTTAAAACTACCAGCCTGCAGTCTATTCTTGCACCTTGCGCCGTTTGGACATTTGCAGCTTTCGCTGCCGTTTTGGTGAAGTCTAGGGCTCATTTCGGGCGCGATGTTTTGGGGGTCATACAGGTTCATGGCTGCTTGTTCTTTGTGCGCGTGTCTGCTCCCATGCGTTCCTGTGTTGCTTTGGGTTGGTTGCAACAACAGGTTGCAGCCTGTTGTCCCGGCTTTGTGTTGCGGACTTTGTGGGGGTTGTCTCCCGGGTCAGCCCATTCTTTTCCTTCTCTTTGGGTATGAAGCTCCAGGGCCTCCCCACAGAAAACCAAAATTGAATGTAATTAAACACCATTTTCTGGGTGAGCCCCAGAGGCTCCCTGGCAACCCTCCCTCCCACTGGTTGGCGTTTGTTTTTGCGTTGATTGAAGCTTGGCTTCCAAACAGACGCTAGGCAGCCGTCTCGATGAGGTCCGAGGGCCCTCCCTTCTCCTCTCGGGGCGGGGAGGGCTGCGCGGACGATCGGCTCGGTAGTAAAGTGTGATGTTTGCTTGTTTCCTTGGGATTGTAAGGAGTCTCTACCTCTCTGTTCGGTTTTCTGTTTTTGTTTTTTACCATGTGGGGTTTGTTTTGTTATGCCTACGTTTCTGGGTGCTTAATCCTGGTCGATCGCAGACAAGGAAAACTCCAACCACAAGGGGGGGTTCCAGGGTCATTGCTCCCTGAAACCTCTCTGAAGGGGCTAGGTTCTGGCACTGGTCCCTGGTAGGTATGAACTCCTTAGCTAATGTCCCGGTCTAATATAACATACATTAGCCCAATAAGTTCCAGGGAGCCTCCAGGCCTCGCCCAGAAAACCCATCATTACATTCGACGCTGGTTTTTTATCGAGACTGCCAAGGTCTCAAGCTGTTTCTTTGGGCTGATTGAGGTGGTCATTGTAGTATTTACACTTTTCCTTTAATATCTATTTTTTATGTTGGTCTATTTCTTAATAATCATGTCTTGATTACCAAAAAGTAGCAAGTTCCATGCAATTGTAAGTTGCATGAATCAAGTTACTGATATCTTTCATACACTGTCTCACTTTCAGACCAGGGGTATAGCTTAATGTGGCTGGAGATGTGCAATAATGAGAGTAACACTGCTGCATCATTGCCCTTGAATTTGCTAATTTCTGGGAAGGCTCAGTAAGTGGCTTCCTATTGCTAGTTGCTCTAGCTCAATGCATATCAAGTTGCACCAGACCCTTGCGAGGTAATAAAAGCCTGCGGGAGACCAGAGGCCACAACATGGTTCTCTCTCAGAGGCACAGCGAGCAGACAAATCTAGATCACTCTAACAAAAAAATAACCACCACAAAGAGTGAGAGAAAACAGACAACATCAAGGTAAAAATAAATAAGACAAAAAACATAATGCAAAACATTTGGTAGTACAACCACTACTTCAACTACCACACCACTAGGTGGCAGCACCAAGAGCTACTAGCTCAGGCATGTGCCCCTTCAATCATGAGCCAACTAAATTGCAAACCAACACACCTGAAAGGAACAGTTGAAATGCAGAGAAGCCCACAATACCACTGCAATGAATTTTGTCGGTATAGTTTAGTAGGCCTTCTTCAGTTTTCTCTACTCTTATGCTCTCATGTTTTTCTGCATGCTAGTTATGTATAAGTCCAATATTATAAAAAAGATATACATGTTTTAAAAGGTTTGAAAACTAGGACTTAAAAAAGGGATATGCATTAATAGGGATATTTAATTACAGACCAAGGTGGTGCTTGCTGGGATTCAAATCTTGCAGTTGTGTCAGGGTTTGTCGAGCCAGATACAAGAGCTGCTAGAGAAGCAGGGATTTCCTCCCATTCAAGACAAGGTAAAACTAAAGAAAAGTCACACTAGTAGATTGCATTTATGTATTATGACAAGCTGATAGTGCAAATGTAAATAATTATCATCAAAATAACATATTAAATTGTGTGCTGTATACTCTTAAAATAATTAGTTGATAATTATTTATTGGCTGAGGATGCGCCCTGGGACTGTTGGCCGGCCTTACGTTTCTTTTCCCTCCTCGAGCTGTCTTCGGACTGGCTCACGGAGGATGTGGGAGCGCTTGGGGCTGTTCCTGGTTCTGGCGCCTTAGCCTCGGCGGCCTGCTCGTTGCCACCTTGTTGAAACTTTTTGGGCCGATTTTGCGGGATGCGGTTGCGCTGTTTTAGGCTTCCCGGCTCGCTTGTCGGCAGGCGGTGCTTGCCTCCTCTGTGGAATCTGCTTGGGCCTTTGCTCTTCGGATATCTTCGCTGTTTTGCCCTCTCCTGTTTGACGCTTCAGCCGTTGCGCAGTATATTCAGGCTGCTTCGGCTTTTTGCCATCCTATGTCACACTTGTTGGTTCTTCAGGGGGTCCAAGGCGAGCTTTCCCGGAAGGGTCGTGCCAAGGCTCGGGGTTCCTCTCGTGGTAGGCCAATGGTGTCGGGTTCGGACCCTCCTTCGGACCCCGCCTTATTTTGGTTGGCACGGTGTTCGCTTTGTGCGAGGTTCTGGGTCTTGTAAGGGGTGCCAGCCCTTTCACGATTCGCCCCATTGACGGGGTGATGGGAGGAGGGGAGGCTAGCGCTGTTCGCTCATGTCTGGTCTCATGATTCATAGGTGTTTTAGGTCAATTCGCACGACTCCGGTGGCATTGGGTGGCTCCACCTCCTTCGGGGGGTTCGTGGCTGGCTGGGCAGGCCTCATTCCCTGCGCTCTGTCGAGTCGTTTTGGAGTGGGTTCGCCTGGGCGTGGTCGAAACGACGTTGTCCCTCAGATTGATTTCCCATCTGTTTCCGGTCGCCAAACGGGACTGCGCGGACCTGCAGTTCATTCTGGACTTGTCCCGTCTGAACCCCTGGGTTCATTGCCCCTCCTTTCGGATGACTACGCTGTTCCAGGTTCGGCTCCTGTTGGAGCCAGGCACTTGGATGGTGTCCCTGGACCTCCGGGATGCTTGTTGGCACATCCCGATACATCCGGGGTTCAGAGACTGGCTCGGTTTTGTTCTGGGACTTCATGCTTACCACTTTCGTTGTCTCCTGTTCAGATTGAACCTGACACCTCGTGTGTTCACACGCCTTACACGGGTCGTTGTGGCCTGTCTGCGTCTATTAGGTGTTTCAGTGCTGGCCTACCTCGACGACTGGCTGGTTTGGGCTTCCAACCGGTCCTCTTGTCTGCTGACCAGGGATTTGGTTCTTTCTCAGCTCGTCGAGTTCGGGTTCTTGGTGAACTGGAGGAAGTCCCATCTAGTTCCTTGTCTCTTCCTTTGGAGTCTCTCCTGCGGCTGTGGTCCCACATGCGCCTGTTTCTGGGGGGCTCCCGGGTCACCCGGCGGTTGCTCGAGGTTTGTGCTGGAGTCTGAACTTCGCGATGCTGGTCTACCTGCCGGATTGGGTTTGGCTTCGTTGGCTGTCCTGGTTCCTTCGGGGACGTCTCGTCCGCCTCTCTTGTGATTGCAGGGTTCGGACTCCGGGGGCTTTGCGTTGGTTGCATCGTCATTGGCTTCCTATTCTGTTTTTTCGGGGTTCAGTGCCCGTGCCCTCACTCGATGTGTTCACAGATACGTTGTCTCTCGGCAGGGGGCTTTGTGACCAGTGCTCACCAGGTTGGCCAGGGACGGTGGGGTCTGTCCTTCCGTCGAGTGTACAGCACTGTGCGGGAGTTCACGGCGGTGTGATTTGCTCTTCGGAGGCTAGTTAAATGGAAAAGAAAGAAAAGAGAAAGCGCACATTTCTGTGTTTAATTTCACAATGTTTACAATGCTTGTGGGTATGCAATACTTTTTGTTGTTCCATCGACTGGGGAGATAGAGATTGTCTGGTTTGCCGACTCTAGAACACAGAACATGTAATTCTCCATGTGAGAAGCTATACGTGTCTAGATATAAACTGTACAATTCTAAAGATTGGCCCTGAGCTTTGTTGATGGTGATTGCAAATGTCAATTGAATTGGAAATTACAATCTCTTAAATTGAAATGGCATATCTATTGGAATCATAGGAATGAGAGGAATGAGGACATCTTCACCTTTAAAAGGTCCTGTCAAGATTATTGCTTCCACGACGTTGCTGATTATATTTTTACTGCAAGCCACGTGACGTTGCAAAGCTTTGGCTGATTGATATTTCGGAATATGATAATTTGCATGCTGATTTTCAATTGCAGTACGTGCGGTGGTATCCCTGGAGATCAAGTGAATTAAAAAATTCTGCTTGGATAATTAACAGCTTCATCTGCTTCCACAACAATGTCGACGGACTTGTATGTGACTTCCTCACTTTGACTGTAAGACTGAATAATATTGCTAAGTTCATAGACGTCTTTGTTCTTGGTCGCAAGAATAGCTCGTTCAGTCAGCCAATCGTGATTCTTATAATTGGTCTGATTATTGGGAAATACTTTTTCAACCAATTCCTCTTTTGACATCATTAAATTGCAGAAGTTATGAAGCAATGAAATTCGTCCTGAGGTCAGATCAACCGGCACGTTTCCGTTGCCAATTTCCAGGAATTGATGTGAGAATATCTCAGCTGATGGATTGTTTTGCAGCTGGACATGCAGATTTGTAGTTAATTTAAGTAGTGCCTCACTCAATCTGACCGAATTGTAATAGTTGTCCATATATAAATGGTAACCTTTATCCTTCAGTGGTTCAATCAAGGCCATAACTGTGTCAATCGTCTTTTTCCCAACTCCTGAATAGATTTCAAAATCATAAATGTAGCCACTGGTGGCTTCAGCTAGCATGTAGAGCTTTATTCCGTATTTATCTGGTTTATTGGGATTATAGGTCTTGAAAGATAGACGGCCACGCCATGGCATTGTCCCTTCATCCAAACTCAAATTTTTATTGGGAATGTATATTCTCTTGAATCTATTCAGGAGATATTGCATGAGTGAGCGAACTTTGATAAGTTTGTCAACTCCTTGGCCTGGTGGTATGGACTTATTGTTATACACATGGAAATATTTAGCAATCATTTCAAATCGCTTACCTGTCATGAAGGTGTTGAAACAAGGTATGTGCCAGAATCTGCCTGTTTGCCAATACATTCTAAGTCTTGGCAACGGGCAAATACCCATCAAGATCGTCGGTCCCATATATCTAGCAATTTCCTTCACTGTCACTGGTTGCCATCTGTGCTTTGTACTTTGCCCAGTACCTGCCTTATTTTGGGAAGCATATAAATTTGATTCATAGGCAATATATTTCAGCAATTTTTGTGTCAGAAAGAGTTGAATGAATCCAAGAACAGTGGTAGGTACAGGAACAGTCAAGCCTGGTGTACCTGTAAAATTGTCCACAAAGGGTGCAGTATTGTCACTACACCATCCATCATCAGAATCTGTTGGTGCTGGGGTACGTGTGGTATGTCTGGCTCTAGCACGAGCTCCAGTACCGCGCCGTGCACGAGTGGCAATCTTGACCTCAGACTCCTCACTGTCCTCACTTTCATCACTCTTAAAATCCTCATCGGCCGTCTCTGTTTCTAAATGTTCACTACTTGCATCAGTATCAATACCAACATCAGTTTCATCACTAGATGACCCAGAAAATCGTCAAATACAGCCTGAAACTTAGAGGGAGTTAGTCTCACATGCTTGTACTTCTCCTGTACACTACTCAGCTTCTGCTTTTCACGCCTTTCTTTCGCAATTTTCTTCCTGGAAGGGCCTTGTTCATGATCACTATCCATCGTGGAGTAAGCGTAGATAGTTTCTGAAGCCACAGTAAGAAATATAGCCATGGAAAATAGCCGAAATGTTCACACGTTTGAGACGCGAGGGGAGGCGACACCGGTCACAACAGTGGAGCGAAAACAATGGGCCGACGGCGTGTGCCGCGCCACCTGCGGGCCACTAGGCGCAACAAAGAAAATGGGAAGACATCGGCGCGCATTTTAAAACCAGTCCCCCAAAAATCGGATAAAAGCCTGATTTTTGGCGAATTTTTAAAGTGGATGACGCAATGCTGCGTCATCCCCGGCATTACCGCCAGTAAACGGATGACGTAATGCTGCGTCATCCCCGAGCGAAAGTGTTAAGAAAGCAGTTATCGTTGCAGCCGGTGGATTCATAGTTATTTGTTGCACATTTGCAGCTGTGAAATATACATATTGTCCTTTTTCTTGTTTGAAAAACAAACAAACAAAAAAGCAAATATTAACGAAATATTTTGATTAAAATGCAGATCAATCAACACAGCTCAATTCTACCGCCAATTGCACTCAAAAATAAGAACAGTTAAAAAACGAAATGAAAAAAAAATTATAAAATAAAAGATAATCTATACTCATGAAATGAAAGGTATGATAAACAACACAGCTCAATTCCAATGCAATGCCACTCAAAATAATTAAATCAAAATGGAAATAAATCAAAATCTATAAAAATTCAATTCATCAATGCAATCAGAAATATTAAAATGTAATCGTAACATATTTAGTACATCCTGTGTTGCGATTACGTGCAACAAATGGCGCTGTTTTTCAAGAAAAGCATGTTTTTACCTGTCACAGGTGGGGTATCTATGTAATAGGTACATCAAAACCCACGCGAATTTGAAAGGAACGTTGTGTCAGAATTTCAAAGCAGTTGGTGAAGAACTTTTGTAGATTACAGTGTGTGTTACTCTTATGTCCAACAGATGGCGGCGTTTTTCAAAAAAGGCATCTTTTTTTTCCTGTCTCAGATGAGGCATGTATATAATAGGTATATACAAACATGCGCCTATTTGAATGCAACGTTGTGTCAAAATTTCAAAGCAATTGGTAAAGAGGTTTCGAAGATTTCCCCTCACATGAAAAACACATGAAAATCACAGTTTTTCAGAAAAACA